AACTAATAAATTTATCACTTAACAATGGCAAAATTCATCCACAATTTTTTATTCAAAATTTTGTATTGAATATAGATTGCATTTGATAGATTTTATCAAAAATGTTCCAAAAAAAATTGTTTGGTTTGAGTTTTTAGAAATTATTTTTGTTTGGATTTTCGTTTGTTTGTACTGATTTTTTTTTTCATATTTTAGTCATTTTATCTACATTTTAGATACACCAAGATTAGATGCATCTAAAAAGTAAAAAATACTTAAATAAAATATAAAATAAAAAAAAAATCACTAAAAACAAACGAAAACTCCCCAAAAAAAAATGCACTCATTTTTTTTTTTGAATCTTCATTTGTTTTTAGTGTTTTTTTAAAAAACTATTTTAGTCAATTTATTTTACTTTTTAGATGCATATTAATTTGGTGCATCTAATAAGCACAAAAAATGATTAAAATATAAAAAAATACTAAAAATAAATAAAAACTTATTTTAGAATAATTTTTAAAAAATTAAACCAAACATATATTATTTTGTAAAAATAAAGTGGGTCTAATATTTAGGAGATTTTTTTTTAAGGTCCCTGATATTAAGACTTTACAGCATAAAAGGCATCTAACATTTTCATAATGTCTAAGGTCCCTCAAGTCAAACTAGGGAAAATTCAATCCAGTAAAATTCTTTGGTCCAAACCCAGAGAAAATTCAATTTAATCTAGAGAAATTCTTTGGTCCAAACCAGAGAAAATTCAATCCAGTGAAATTCTTTGGTCCAAAACCAGAGAAAATTCAATTTAATCGAGAGAAATTCTCTGCTCCAAACCAGAGAAAATTCAATTCAGAGAAATTCACTCTAGTCGAATTTTCTCTGGACTTCATAGAGAATTCTGGTTTATAGAGAATTTCTCTAGTGACTTCATAGAGAAATTCTCTCCAAATCAGAGAAATTCCCAAATTTCTCTGTCTAAATCACATACTCACCCCAGTGATTTTCTTTAGCCATCATCTAAGTTTCTTCAAAAAAATTCTTTGATTTGCATGTCTATAATTTCATTAAAAAGTAGTGCACAAAATGTATTTGATACATTGAACCAAAACTTTTGATACAGTGGCACTAATAACACTATTTGAAGCACAAAAATTAAAAATTTGGCTATAGAGAATTCAGTGGTGAGTGACAGTATTCAAAACAAATATGATTACTATGCTACGGTGGAACTATACATATATCTGTTCTTGAAAAATTGATGGAAACTGATAATTTCTTTCACAACATCCTCTTCAACAAACCACTTAGTGTTATCACTACTTGTGACGATAACAAAAAAGACGATGAACATGTAGATCTATGGATCTAAGGTTGATCTACAAATCTCCTGCGATGGCTTGGCAGCGATGAAGCATGGCGATAGATCCAAAAGGAGAGAGGAAGACGAAAGGGACGACGGTGATGGTAGAAGAGAGAGGGGCTAAACAACGCGGCAGAGAAGATTGAAGAGGCGGTAGTGGTTGGCGGTACCAAGAGAAAGGAAATAAGAGTGGTTGCAGAGAGAGAAGCGAGTAGAAAGTCTCTGGATATAGAAGAGAGGGTGAAAGAGTTTTAGAGAGAGACGATGTGTAGAGGTCGAGAACGAGAAGAAATAAGAGAGAAGAGAGAGAGCGGGAGTGAGGGGCTTTACACATTATAAAATAACATTGTGGATCTCTTTCATTACTGAAAATAGAATAGGGACCTTAGACTAATTGTAACAACTCTCGTCACTGTTTACCAAATAACCACTAATTACCGTTAAACTGAAATTGATTATGACTGATAAGTAAACTGAATAAAATACTGAACTGACTGACTGAAATGGCTGAGTATATCTGTTTAATTGTAATTCTATCTGTTTGGTTATTTGATTATCTGTTCGTGTCTTTGTGTTTAAACTGCTAATTGAAGGCCTTATTGGCGGCCGAACTGGAAACCGATTAGTGGTTTATGATCATCGTAATTTATGTGATTTTATGGTGTAATTATCTGAAAACTGATTAGGTACGATTAAATTAGATTAAAATGAGCTAAATTGCATAGTTGGCCTTATTTACCATTTTGCCACGTGAAGTGGCCCATACCATGATCAACATTTGAGCCTTGGTAAACACCTAGGCACACTTTTGCTCAGCTCATTCCTTGCCTTTGCCGACTAGAGAGAGGGAGATAAGGGAGAGAATTGGATTTCATCTCATTTTGCTTGGAAATTAGGAGGATTGAAGTATATTAAGGAGTTCTTTGCAAAATTGAGCTTGTACATCTTGAACTACTAGACCTAAGGTAGATTCATTGCCTCTTGTGTATGTTTTGAATTGATTCTTGCATGGTTTTGAGCAAATTGAAGTCTAGAGCCAAGTTATGGCTCTTAATTGATGAATTTTAGCTTAATTCATGCATGCATGCCTATACTATTGAATTTTGAGTTGATTCCATGGAGAATTGTCTCATGTATGCTCATGGTTATGTTAAGTCCATGTTTTCATCTTGTTTTTGGAACAATTGGCTCCTTAGAGCATCAAATTGAGCTTTGAAATGATTTCAATTCATGCATGTTTGCATATTCTTCGTATTCATGGAAATTGGTTTGAATTGGATTTATTTGAAACACCCTTGGGCTTTGATTTTGCAAATTGAGCTTTGAATCATGTTAAAGTATGAGTTTTGATGTGTTTTCTAGAAAATTTGGCCCAAGAGGATCGAAATTTATGGCTTAAAACTTGGTTTTGAGTTTGAGGTTCAAATATGGAATTTCCAGAATTTGGACTCACGCTCGAGCGGGGTGACTGGCGCTTGAGCGTGGAAATCGTGCTCCAGCATTTTGTTCTGTTTTGAAGTCCGCTCAAGCGGAATAATTGACGTTCGAGCGGGACATTGTGTCTCATGCTCGAGCGGGTGCCGAGCGCCCAATCGAGCGTGATTTTCGCCTATCCAGCACTTTTGACTGTTTTGCAGAACGCTCGAGCGGGTAAGTCTACGCTCGAGCGGAAACCTTTGTCTACATGTCAGCTCGAGCGGGGTAACCTACACTTGAGCGCGACTCCTGTTTTCTGAAAAGTCTGAAAATGCTTTTTCAAGTGCATCTTTGCATCCTTATCTCATTCTAAGCATTCTTAGGCCTAGTTTAAGACATCTTATTGAGGATATAGATGTAGAACCACACCAAGGTAAATTAGGGATTAAGTTATTATTTTCCCAACTGTGTAGCTTAGTGTGTGTTCAATCTGTAACTGTGTAGGGTTGGCGACTGGGGACGCGCTCTAGCTTTACTGTAGCCCAGAACTCTGTGAGTAACAACTATGTAAAGATATGTATGTCCTCTATTCTGAACTGTATTGTGGCATCCTTAGCAACTACTGTTACTGACTGTTACTGTTACAGAGATCTCTGTCGGTTCCCTTGTTAGAACCACTACTGTTACTGATTGACGGCCATCATTTACTGCTCGGTCTTTTAAGACCTACTGTTTACTGTACTGTTATGCTAATGGATGTATCACATATGACTGTATCGACTGAACGACTAAAATACTGATTTAATGAACTGTTTTCATTACTGTAAGGACATTCATTCTTAACCCCTTTACGCACTGTGTTATTCACTGGGCTTTGGCTCACTGCTTATATATATATATATATGTAGGTATACAGGCACCAGACCGCAGCTAGAAGCGTCGGGGTAAACTCCAGTTTTGTCAAGCCAACCTATGTGCCTCAATGCGAGGTTCCGAGCCTGCCAAGTTATGGCTTAGGGGTGTTTTAGCTCCCCCTTCCGTCTCTATAACCGTTTTGTTTACTGTACTATACTGTACTGTATTGTTTAATAGGGATTAGGTCTCTGACTGAATGATTGTATATATGTACATACTGTTTGGTCTGACTGTATATATATATATATTTGAATGAAAAGTCTTTTACATACAGACTGTCACAGCTCATTGGACATTGTCTATTTACTGTTTTGGCTTCCGCCAGCCCCTGTACTCTGTATTACTGTATTACTGTTAAGCAGGCCTTTGATAATCTCGAATCACTGACCGGTTACGGTACTAAACCCATAAGGACAGGTTTGAATCGTAACACTAATTTTCCCTAATATGTACCTCTTAAAAAAGAGTCAACTCAAAATACAAAGGAAAGATTTGCTTTTTATTCATTGTTTTGATCTTTAATGACTTTTGTCTTCAAAATTATTACATTTTATCCTCTTTTTTTTTTTTTTAAACATTTTAAATCCAATTTTGTTTTTTTCCGTTGGCTAAAAAAATTATTAGTGACATTTGTTTCTAAAACTATTATTTTATCCTTTTTTTTTTTTTAAACATTTTAAATCCAATTTTGTTTTTTTCCGTTGGTTAAAAAAATTATTAGTGACATTTGTTTCTAAAACTATTCACTCTATTGGGTTTCAGTTTTTTTAATTTATTTTCCAGAAAAATTTGCTTTGTCATTTGTTGTATTTTTTTTGTTTATTGTTTTAATATTTTAAGCAATTTTAAAAAATTTTAGACACACTTAATATAAATGCACTTAAAAAATATAATATTTGTAATTTTTTTTAAAAATTAATTAAATACCAAAAATACAAAACAAAAAGAGAAAATTATAACATATTTTTCATATTTTGATGTATTTATTAATTTTTTAAAATATTTTTTTCATAAATATTTTACTATCTAGATATATCTAAATATCTAAAAAAGTAAAAAATTACTTAAAATTTTAAAAATATTTATTAAAAACAAAAAAATATAAAAAATAAAAACTTAATTTTCAAAAAACAGAAACCATTGCATTTTTTTGGTTTTAGAGTATTTTAGTTTAGAAATATATAAAATACAATTTTTTTTAAAAATCTGAAAAAAAAAAATGTAGGAGATAAAATAGTTGTTGACCGACCAACATCAGCCAATTGAAAACCTAACCAAAAAAAAAAAAAAGGTAAAAAATAAAAGGGAAAGAAATTTGTGAGGATAATTTGTGGGAGACGTGGCAAATTGTAAAGACAATGGAGAAGGGAGAAGCAGCCTCGGAGAGAGAGAGAGAGAGAGAGAGAGCGCTTTGAACTTTTAGTAGTCGAGCAAGTGCGTATGCTCAGTGAGTCACTGATTCAAGAACACCCAAGAAAAGAAAAGAAACAATGAATCAGTCAATGAGTATGATAAGAACGCAAACCCCTTCTCCATTGTCACAGCCTCCTCCTCCTCCTTCTTTGTAAGTTGTTTATTTATTTATATTTTGTTGGAAACCCATTTATGGAAAGAACCAATCTATTACTATTATTAGCTATGACTTTAATCATCACTTTGTGCAGCGCTTGTGGGCATTCTGAGCTCAATTTTTTGATTATGCTATGTGTAGTTAGTGACTGAATACCCATTTTATTTTCTGATTCTTTTGGTAATCCTTGAAAATGTTTAATCAATATATATATATATATGTGTGTGTGTGTGTGTGTGTGTGTGTGTGTGTTTGTGTATATACATTTCCTAGCATATGCACTGGATCAAATCAGTTATCTAGAGATTGGCTGTGTTTGGTCCAGCTTAATGGAGCTGCTCATAGCTGTGTTTGGTGCAACTCTGCTTAGAGCTTATAATTCGAAAATAGTTTAAATAAGTTGAGAAAAAATTGATTATTGGGAAGCTTGAGAGATATGCTTTTAGCTTCTGCTATTTGATTATCAAATTTCGACTAACAAGAAACTTTACCAAACAGGCATGTATTGCTTATCCAGTATATGGAAGAAAATTGCACACATTACCATAATCCCTTTGTTGCCCATGTCCAATTTTTTTTTTTTTAAAAAAGGAAAGAAAAAAATAGTGAGGGGTCTTTTGTTGATTAACACTCTATTTTGTTGATTATAAAAGCCAAAAAAATAAATGTTATGCTATTGGTTAGCTCAATCAGTGATTGTCAGTCCTATCTATCATGTCCAAATGCCTTGGAAGTGTAATAATTGTTATAATGTTTGTTGCTGTTTCTGTGGGTTTTCCACCTCATCATAACAATGAATTTGTTCCTCTTTTCAAGTTTACCCATCGTGATTTGTTTTCATTAAGCTTCTTTCCTCACTATCTCTTGTCTATAATGGTTGCATTAATATAATGATGTCATCCTTTTTACGTTTTTGAAAACTATTATCAGCTTTTTATGTTCTATTTATTTAGCGTGCATTGTGCTGCAGTACAATGAGTCCATTAACATTGTCTCATAAAAAGTTGTACTAGTAAAATTTATATAGTCTTTGACTTCAGTGTTTCTATTAGATGACTGATTTACTGATTATCAGATATATTTCTATGTATATGATGTAGTTTACTATGACATGGAGCAGTTATACTCAAATGGATTTTCATGTGCTTTATTTTTTGTTTCCTAGGGTATTGCCACAGGCAATGTGTACCTCACAGAGGATATATTGTTGCTTTGGCCAAATGGAAGCCCGTGTTAATTCTAATATGTCAAAACCTTCCCTAGTTGCAAAATTTTCCTCAGGGTGGACTGAAACACAATCTTTATTTTTAAAGCAAACAGTCAACAATTATTCGTTGCCTTTGGGAGCATTATTGACTTCTAAAACTCAAGATGTATCTACTATGGCTTTTAATGGTGATGAGAAGATAGGAGTCTTGTTGCTAAACCTTGGAGGTCCAGAGACGCTGGATGATGTGCAGCCTTTTTTGTTTAACCTTTTTGCTGACCCGGTAAAGTGCTCTTTCGTGCTTTATGCATCTTGTGATCTTTGTCTGAGCCATTATCAGAGAATGTATTATTGCATTTTAATGCACCTCTTTTGTCTGGTTCCACCAATTTCATTTTAAAATATTTAAATAGTAGTGCCTTTTATTTTTACCAAATAAAATAAAATGTGTGTGTGTGTGTGTGTGTGTTTTTCTTCTTTCTTTTTCTTTGCTTATATCTGCTATGTCTAGTTGCATAGCAAGTTTTCATGTGTTAAAATTTATAAATGTTTTACGCATGGATGGTGGTGTGTGTGATTATGTTAATGTCTAATTGACTTTATACATTTGAGCAGGATATTATTCGATTGCCAAGATTGTTTCGTTTCCTTCAAAAGCCATTAGCTCAACTTATATCTGTTCTAAGGGCACCCAAGAGTAAGGAAGGTTACGCTTCAATAGGTGGTGGCTCTCCCCTTCGACAGATAACCGATGCACAGGCATGATCATTAATAGGAATATACGTTCTTTTTCATAGGTTATCTCCAATCATATTTTCACTCAGAAGAATAACCCACTTGCAAAAATATCAGAATCTCCTCTCTGTGGATCTGATTAAAATCCTCAAGCAATGCCATCATCCTCTTTGGTTGATGGTTGGAGAAACTTCCTATGTTATGTAGCACTAGCATACATTGGGGGGTTTCTTAAAAATTGCTTACTTTGTGGGACTTTCTATTTAACACTTTTGCTTCATTGGCTTTTGTTTTCTTTGTTCAGGCAGAAGAGTTGAGGAAGGCCCTTTGCGAGAAGAATGTCCCAGCAAAGGTGTATGTTGGCATGCGTTATTGGCATCCTTTTACTGAAGAAGCTATTGAGCAGGTACCTGGATTGGATAGCTATAGTCCTAGTTTCTAGTGCTGCCTCAAATTATCTAATTATTAAGACACTACCTTTAATGGAGTTTCTTTTCTTTTCATGTTGTGTACTTAGTTTTACATAACATTCTTGTTTAGGGATAGCATTGCTGAAATATTGTGGGATACTGTGATATCGTTCTAAAATTTAATTTAAAACTAGATTTTATAGTTTCATTTTTTTTCTTTTTTACTTCACCCTTCTTTCTTTGTAATTTATATGTTACAAGTAAATATTATTCACTACTACTTTTAGTTATAACAAAAGAGATTCCTTTTTTATCTAGAAAAAAGAAATAATTTAGTTCAACGAATGGAAGATCAACTTCTATCTAACTCTACTAAAATTTAACACAAACCATATGGTTTTTCAAAGCTGGTCTAACTAGGCTGACAAGTAGTACTTGTAGATGATGATGTTGATATAGGGGTAAGGTATTTGTACTTATTCCCAAAAGTATTGGAGATATGACTTCCGTTTATTATATGGAAAAATTCATGCACACGACAAATTGTTGGAAGCACATATTGGAATGTCAACATGGGTGGCATAACATTCATACAAATCATAGAATCCTAAGTTCTGTATGCTTTATGTTGGAAGCACATATTGGAATGTCAACATGGGTAACATCACATTCATACAAATCACAGAATCCTAAGTTTTGTATGCTTTATTATGCTAACTTCATACATCATTAAGATAATGATATTAAATTTGGTTTGGTTTGATCCTAGTTCCAAATACTTCCTTTTGGTAAGTGAATTCAAATAAATATTGGAAGGGTAATTGTCATTCCCATTCACCATCATTTCCCTAATAATTCTTTTGACCTACTTAAGTTTTATTATTTATAATAAAACGTGTTGCTAGTTATTGTTTTATTGATCAAGTATCAATGATTCTACTTTCTCTACAGATGTATGGAAATACATTTTGTTTCAATAATACATAGCATAGAATACTTTTTCTTTGGTGGAACTCCCCAACTTAACTGTTAAAACCTACCATCACCTACTCCACCTACTACACCTACCACCACCTACTACCACCTACTACACACCTACCACTACCACCTACCTACACACCTACCACTACCACCTACTACCACCTACTCCACTACATCTCCTATATAAGGAGCCCCTCACCATTTGTAATATATAACAAACATCAATCAATAATACATCAGTTTTTTTACATAGTATCAGAGCAGTTTTAGAATCTAATATTTTCGCTTCACCGGCGGGCGGCAACCTCACCTTGGCCGCCTGCCGGATCTCAACCTAGTCGGCTCGATCTGTCTCACAACAACTTTTCCGGCCCGTTTCCGGCGACTGTGAACCGTCTGATTCCCCTCCTCCCGCTCCGACTCGAAGAGCACCAGTTTTCAGGACACATTTCCCAGACTGATCTCCCGAATCTCCAGGACTTCAATGTCTCCGGCAACACACTCTCCGGCGAAATACCCAACTCCCTTTCTGGTTTCCCCGAATCCGCTTTCTCCCTCAACCCGTCTCTCCTCCTTCTCTTCACGAAAAGGTTGCAGAAGCGTCGATTGCCATGGCCGGCTCCGGCAAGTTCGTTGTTGGTGGCAACAAACCATTCTCTTTGCCGTTGTTGTCTTCATCAATCGTGCCACCTGTGCCACTCCAGATGCGGCTGTGGCTGTTCACCCCAGCTTCTTGCTCAAGTCATGTGCTCTTAAGAGGTTTCAAGAGTTCAATTTCATTGCTGCTTTATCACAGAAATACAAGAGAGAGAGTGGTCTCGGTGCATGTGTACTGTGTATGCATGTGCCTCTGTCTGCTGGGTGTGAGTTAGCCATCATTGCCCCCATCAGCCACAAATTACACCAACCCCCTTTTACTTTTCTTTTCTTATTTCTTTATTTTTTTCTTTTACTTCCTTTACCATCACTCACCCATATGTGATTCACTCTACCCAAAACAAATAAAATAAACAACTAACTAAGCAAATGCATTGCACCCTCCTCGGGCCACCCATTTAACTTTTCTTATTATTATTATACACCCTTTTTCATTCTAAACTATTCTCCACCCTAACCCATCATTACATTTTCCACCGCCCACCTTTTCCTTAAACCTCAATTTTTTATTTTTTCTTTTTTTGACAAACAAAACACACAAAAAAAAAAAAATATATATATATATATATATATACAAACAAACAAACTATATACATGTACAGATACATATATATGGACACATAGGGACACACGGATACATACACGGTATACACATACATAAGAGTACACACATACATATAGATACATATTATATACATATATACAGATTATATACATATTACATACATCTCATTCTCTCTCCCCTATTTTGTCTCTTTCTCTCTGCCTCTTCGTCTTCGTCAAGCGTCATGCTTGGCGTATGATTTCAATAATTACGGCGCGCCTGATTGACGGTCACTGGACCGGCCTCCATGGTTGAAGATTGCCTCGACAATCCCTATTCTCTTGGTTTCTTCTCTTCCAATTTCTTCTTAAACAGAGACTTGAGAGAGAGCAGAGCAAAAAGCTACAAACTCCCCTTGCCATTACTCTGCCAATCTCTCTTCTTGGCATTATTGTCCCTTAAAATGGCCTCTTCTCGCCGTCCTCTCACTATTTTCCTAGACCTTATTGATTCCCCAATCGAGGTTGCTAACACTAGCTCCTCTGCACCTTGACAAAGTGCCCCTGCCCCTGCCCCTGCTATCAGCTTTCATATGCTGTCAGTTGAACAACTAATGGCAACGTAGTCTGACATTGACACCAATCACTACACGCTGAAGTCCTGTATAGAGGTCGCAACTGAAGTCTCCAATTTTTTCCTGCCAGCTACAGAATAGGACAAATGAGGTGCACCGGCTCAAAGCAAAACTCTCTCTGCTCCATAAAATGTTCCAGGATGCTCAAAAAGAGATCATCCAATTGAAAAAGCGCAACACAGAGCTGAAACGACAAGCAACCACTATAGCTCAAGTTGGAGCTCCCCATTTGACGAACGACAGGGAGTAATCTCCTTTGGAAGCTCTACAAATGTTGAAACAGAGTCTTCAAGAGCTTCCAAAGAGTGAAGATATGGCGAGCCAAACAAGGAAGAGCCAATGATGCCATTAGAAAATGAAGTCAGTTATCACTAAACTGCCACTAGTGATCTAGGAAAATTCTTCCATCTTTTTTTTCTTTCTTTTTTTCTCTTATTTTTTTCCTCTTTTTTTCTGCCCTGTGCTTTTGCATAGGAGTGGGCACTTATAGCTTCAACTCTTTTTTGTGCCACTTTAATCGAGGTTTGATCCCTGTTATTCAATAAAAAAGAGTTTTGTTTGGCAAATCCGAATGGCATGAATGGCACTTGAGCATGGAAACCATTTGTTTTGAATTTTGAAATTGAGAATGGTTGCATTATGAATTGGACATCGAGCCTATAAGTGACTAGAAATCAAAGAATGACTCAATGAAAGAACAAACCAAAAATAATCCAAAAACAAGACTAAAAAACAAACCATTGGGCCTACACAAATTCTGCAGTTTTCTATTTTTGATTAAAAAATTAATTGATTGACCGGTCAACTGATTTGTTGTCTAACCAGCTGAAAAATTGACAGGCCGGTTGATTCATGAACTGCCTGACTGAACAAGCTGATGAACTAGTTGGAAAACAAGTGGCCAGAAATTAAAATGACTCAATCAAAGAAAAACAAAGCAAAAACAATACAAACATACCTATTGAAACTTGCCAGATTAGAAAGGACACAAAACTTCAACGTGGGCTCAATTAGAAACACCGCAGGCACGACAATCACGGGCGCAATTTAGAATATTACAGACGCGATACATTGCCGGAGACAACTATTATGCACTTTTCGGAGAGTAAGTTGACAATGGAGACTTTCAATTTTCTTGTTTTGTTACTCTCTCCAAACTCAAGTTGGTTAGTTCCTATCCCCCTTGAGTTTGCGGGGGGCTGTTAAAACCTACCATCACCTACTCCACCTACTACACCTACCACCACCTACTACCACCTACTACACACCTACCACTACCACCTACTCCACTACATCTCCTATATAAGGAGCCCCTCACCATTTGTAATATATAACAAACATCAATCAATAATACATTAGTTTTTTTACATTAACAATTGATACCAAATTTGTTGGCTTGCTAACAATTGCATTTTCTTTTGATTTATGCTTCTATAGATAAAAAGAGATGGAATTTCAAAGCTTGTAGTGCTTCCTTTATATCCACAATTTTCAATTTCTACTAGTGGTTCAAGCCTTCGATTGTTGGAGAGTATATTCCGGTAATTAATATGGATATATGCTTCTTTCTTATATTGACCTAAAATATTACTTGCTAATGATGGTGAAATTATTCATTGTTAGGGAGGATGAATATCTAGTAAACATGCAGCACACAGTAATTCCTTCTTGGTACCAGCGTGAAGGATATATAAAGGCCATGGCAGATTTGATTGAAAAGGAATTAAGAAATTTTGGCAACCCTGATAAGGTATGACATTTCTTGCAGCTGAATCATCTCGTTTAGTTCAATTATTTTGTGAATGTCTTGTACTTCAAATATTGTCTACACATCACAAGCTTATATGGTTGAGTGTTATACTACATGGTTATATCATTTCAAGCATGTGGCTCCTTTATAGACAGTCATGGATGCATTTTAACGTGCTTAAAACACTATATTCAACTTTTCATTGATTTTATAAAATGAAAAAAAAAAAGAAGTTGAAAAACTTATAGCTATTTATTTGAAAATTATAAATAATCAATCATTTTTTATTTATTTAAACCAAAGAAGTGGGCTGGTAGTGATTTTTCATTCTCTCCATGGAAGGTTGGAGGTGAGTAGGCTGGTTGTGGAAGCCTTTTGGGAAGTATGGTAGACATGTGGCCACCAACAATAGGTTGGTGAGAGGATATTAGGAGGAGAGACTGAGAGAGGAATGGAGACTGCCTATTACTTTTGAAGCATGATAATTTTGCTTCAACGTGGCATATACTTTGTGACAAGGTTTGAATTTTAATATTTCTATAGAATTCAGCAAGTGTCTCCTTTTCCATAGTGTTTTCATGTCATATAAGGTCAAGGTCTGGCCAAGGTGTTAGATCTCATATATTCTATGCACAAGTAAATTAAGGTCCTTATGTTTATGATGAATCTGCATTCATATAAACTTTCTGATATAATTGAGGATGGGGAATGAGTTGTTGAGTGTTGTGCCTTTGGGCACTTTCGATGACAATGGTTTTATGAATCATTTCTATTTCTCGTACCCCCTTAGAAGCTTTTATTTTTCTTGAAGTTGATAGCTTCAACATTTATCTTGTGGCATCATTCAATTTGGTGGTTAGTTGCCAACAATCTTATTTCAAAATACGAATTACAGGTGATGATATTTTTCAGTGCTCATGGGGTGCCACTTGCTTATGTGGAAGAGGCTGGTGATCCATACAAGGCTGAGATGGAGGAATGCGTGGATTTGATTATGGAAGAACTAGAAAAGAGAGGGATAACTAATGCATATACGCTTGCTTATCAGGTGCTTATTTTTGAAAGTTGTTTCAGCCTTGGGCAACTCTGTTTAACTTCAGAATTATCCATTGATAACATATAACTCAAAAGTTGACCATCAAAGGCATTTGAACTAGGTGGTTGTGCAAAAAAGTGGAATCCAATATCTGTTGACGGATTGTTTGGTCTAAAATTTTAAGATGTGAATTCAGTTAAAAAAGAAAGTACTGTTTAACTAATAATTGCTATTCCTTATGTTAGTGGTAGTTTTTTAAACTAAAGCGTAATAGGGTCAACAGTGAGTTCATGATTCAATGTTTTGTTCCATGGTGAGAGCAGGTTGTCATGAAACATTTTAGAATGCACCTTGGACGGAAGCTACTAGATTGACTGAACTCAATTTGCTAAGTGAAGTGATTTATTCATAAGAGTGAGCCAAACTTTGCAATGGGTTGATTAATCTCCTGAGCTACTCCTTCAGTCAAAACTTGTAATTTGGTTGTAACCCGTGGAGTAGCTTTGCTGGCTTCATATTATACATGAACCATGGCCATTCAAGGTCCTCATTTGGTTAATATTCCAAGATTCAATTATACTTGAACCTTAGCTTTGGTTCTTAGAAAGGTGAACCCTTTATATAAAACTCAGTGGTCTAAAATTGGCCACCGGTTCTAGCACCAGCACTTTTAGATGATTAGTATTGATGTATCCCGTGGAGAATCTTATCAGCTAAATTCTGAGTGATCTGCCTCATTATGTTTTATCATGTGCGATCTTCAAATTTTCTAATCTGATACTTATTGGAGCTTGTTTTAATTCTAAATTGCTATTGTTGTTCATTCACATTTGTGTTTTGTGTGAAGTACAAAAGTCATGTTCTCGATATCCCTGTTGAAGCAGATTATTTACAGAAATTTCTATTATTTTTAAAAGTAGATAAAAATGGAGACACTACCTGAATAGCGTGGTTCTTAGCATCTATATAACCCTTAAAGCACAGGGTTGTAACACTGATATCTGTATGTTGTGAGAACAGCCTGAGAAAATGCTTATGGATTAAGATCATCATCTGCAAGGCTACAGTGTGGATACTAAGAGAAGCAGCTAGAAGCCTGGAATAGATGGTCTTTGTTAAAATTGATGTATTATTGATTGATGTATGTTATGTTGAGCTCTCTCCTTTATAGAGGAGAGGGAGAACAATTACAAACGAAAGTAGAGGCAGCAAATATTAAGGTACATATTAAAGCATACTAATTATTATACTACCTAATTATTAAAGAGCACTTTAATTTATATTCTAAAGCCCCTCAAACTCAAGGAGGATAGGAACAACGCAATTGAGTTGGGAAAGTAACAAAATAGGAAAGTAAACTGATAAATAAAATTGGAGTAGGAGACCTGTATGGTCGTGTCAGACGTTGTTAGAAGACTGTATGGTTATGGCAGACGATTAGAAGAACAGTTTATGGGGTTCATGTCGGACCGTTGTAGAGATAATGTTTGTGACAGTTGTATTGTGACAGTTTAACGGAGTTTGCTGGACCCTTGTAGAAACTAACCGGAATATGTCGGAACAGTTTCAGAGTCTTGTCGGAACCATGAAGGATGCTAACGGAATTAATGTCGGGATCAGTTTAACAGAGTCTTTGTTGGACACATGAAGGAGCTTAACCGGATCAAATGGCGGACAGTTTACTAGAGTCTTGTCGGACCATGTAGAACTACCGGAATCATGTGGGAACAGTTTACAGAGTCTTGTCGGACCTTGACAAGCTACTGCTCATGTCGGGACAGTTTCAAGAGTCTTGTGGACCTTAAAAAGTCGCAACCTCAAAAGGTGTGCCCAATCTTTCAAAAGTCGTTCATCAAGGCGTGCCCAGTCATAAAAAGCGTGCATCAAACGGCGAGCCCAATCATAAAAAGATGTGCCGGACATGATGGCGAGGTGCGTCACACATTGGCTTGCCGCGCCGGTTTTTGTCGTCTTGGCGTAAGTTGGCGCGCGATGCGCGTGTTCTGCCTTGGCTATTTACTAAGGTGTGAGGCGGAGGCTAAGGCAGAGGTGAGACCAAAAACCTGCGAAAATCCTTTGAAAAAAATCTCTTCACGTTTCTGAGAATTGGTCGTAAGGAGCTGCAAATCTTGAACACTCTGTATACCACTCTGGTAACCACACCCTTTCTGAAACAGCTCAGAACACCATAACATGGCTCGTCTTCCGTTCAGCACCAGAATATGGTCCTCTTCGTCCCGTGGTCTGCTCACTCTCTTCCCGACCGTTAACGAGTCAACAAGAGAGATAACTGGTGCGGTGGGCAGTTGAACTCAATACCTAACAGCGCCTTGGTTTTGCTCGTTGAACTTTCGATGGGTCGGTGGACAAAAATGGGTGCAAACTGATATTGAGGCCAATCAGTATACTTTGAAAGTCATGTGTGGAGACAGGACGGCGGTACCACAAACTTGTCGCACGTGGCAGAGTAGGACAAATAGTGAGCAGTTAAACGCCCAACTGGCTCTCTCCAGCTCAATGTATAAGGATGCGCGAGCAGAGATAAGTGGTGCTAAAGGCGGAAAATAAGGAGCTGAAGCGGAAGGCATCGTTATTTCGATTTGGAGGTCCGCCATATCTGCAGTGGAGGAGTATGGGGGAGTGAACGTGCTCGCAGCGTAGGAACCCGGAGGCAACACGTCAAGGGACGTCCAGCGACGGAGCCAAGAAGAAAAGACCGCGGGCAGAGTAGAGAAGAAAATCTGCCTGTGGTGTGTGTTTGTTTTTTTTTTTTTTGTTTTGTTTTGTTTTTTTTTTTTTTGTATGGTGATCGGGTGAGCCCCAACATGATAAATGAGGTTGAGTTTGGTGTGCAGTTCATCTGCTTCATTTTTTTTTTTTTTTTTTTAAAATAATAATGAAAAAAAGATTAATAATAAGAATACTAATAATAAATAAAATGAAGTGTGGGGATAAAGGTGAAGAAAAATTTGGAGTTAAGTAATAAAAATAAAAAAAAAGAAAAAGGGGAGATTCAAAGTTGTTGGGGGGCGGGTCCTACACAAGAGAGAGATTGTAAAGCATAAAACTCTAACCAAGAAAATTTATGAAAATTAACATGCCACACTATACAGCTCATTGACAGTAAAGTATCTGAAAACATCACACAAGACTAGCAGTGACAGTACAACATACCTAATTGGGACGGCTAGAAGATTTTTTACTCCTTTCTGCCCTAGCTCAATGATAGTGTCATCGGTGTACGGTTTCAACCATTCCACTGGCCCAACTCTGCTCTATATATACATTTAGAACCAAAGTTATACAAAATCAGTATAATAATCATAAATATGCCTCAAGGAAAAATATGAAAAAAATTGGAGTATTACCGTTAAAAGAAATCAGTGCACAATTAAAAAAGTATAAACTGGGGAAGAAACAAAATTTTAATTATGCTAGGAACAAAATTTTAAATAATTGATGCCAATATTTGCTCTTAATAGAATAATTCAGCTTTCTCAATGAAATAAATTTATATAACAATCTTTGAAGGAGGGAAACTGAAAAAACAACTAGACAAGATATGTTACTAGAAGATAATGCACATGACACAATCATTTTTTTCTTTTAAGTTTGTTGAATCACACGTGCTAATAACAGCAATATCTTTTAACTTCTGGTGGCATACTCTTCAATAAAATGGGATTAGTTGACAGGAAACAATAGATGAAGTAATTCAAGCTGTCTTGATTCAGATTAATATGGCAAAGTACACCTTCAGCACTGAGGTAACTGAGGACATTGACTTATAACCATAGTAATCAAGATAAATTTTCTGTTATTCAAAAAATTCCCCTTTCTGTCTTTCGACTCTTTTTAGGTATTCTCTTGTCCTTTTGCTATGTGAAGACTGTTAGAATATAATATGTAAAGTGCTGCTTTAATAATTAGGTTAGTATAATAATTAGTATGCTTTAATAATGTACCTTTAATATTTGTGCCTCTACTTTCGGTTGTAATTGTTCCCCCTCTCCCTTATAAAGGAGAGAGCTCAACATAACATACATCAATCAATAATACATCAATTTTAACATGGTATCAAAGCAGGTTTAGAACCTAGTATTTTCGCTTCCCCGGCGGGCAGCAACCTCACCTTAGCCGCCCGCCGGGCCTCAACCTAGTCTGCAGAATTTTGCTACACATACCTTCACTCTGCTTCACCACCAGTGCACCACTTACCACCAGTGCACCACTTACCACACCACATCCGTATACATACCAACCATTTCCACCCCACAGGGAACCCACCAGATCGGATGTCCATTGCCCATGTTGGAGCTGATTTGGGATTGCCTTTCAGTAACTGGTGTGCATGTGCATAAGCCATTACTCTCTCTCTTGAAGATTGCTTCCATTTTTCTATGCATCCTTGCCTCTATTTCCTCTTTTGTCAGCAAGCTATCATCCCATTCCTCCTGGAGACCTGCCTCAGACTGGTTTGCAGTCCATTTGCCCGAGCTACTGTCCAAGTCCTTGTCATTCTTGCAAGCTTGGCGGCGTTGGATAGTCTGGTTTTCTCCATCCAGCATGCATCGCCTCCGCCGTCCGATCCAAACCCTCTCCCTCATCATCATGTAACCATCTCTCTCTCTCTTAAGGAGAATAAAGAAGAAAAGAGAAAACAAACAGGGAGGGCTCTCTCTATCTCTCTCATCTCTCCCTAATCAAGATTGAACGTCGAATTGCTGTAAGCAGAGCCATTCGTGATGTGGAGACTGACCAGTTGCTAACTGGATTGCGTCTGCTTCGATCATATTTCAAGAAGGCACAGCTGCAGACTCCTGTGCTGCAATTTTTCAAGGAAAACCTTCTGAATCTGTCAATTGTAACAAAAAAAAAAAAAAATGGAAAAGATGGACAATATGCAGTGCAGTGGAGGGATAAAGAAGGTAACTTATCAATGAACCAGGCTGGAAGAGACATGCACAAACAGAAACAGCACAAGTCTCCAACCCATACTTTTTCTTTTTCCT